TTGTATTTTCTCCTTGGTTGGAGGTATGACAAGTGAAGTCTTCCTTGGTACATGGAATCTCAACAGCCTCTCGGACAAGCTCAATATGGTTCTCAGCATGGGGTTTTCCATCCTTGCTTTACAAGAAACCCGGATTGACTCTCGCAAAGCTCAATTGTTTGCTAACTCGGCCGACTCTTCAGGTTACCAACTCCTGTTTGGCAAGTGCCCGGTTTGGAAAAAGAAAGGCTGTGGCAAAGTTGGTCTGCATCACAAGCAGTGCCCTGGAGTAGCTATCGCTATCAAGAAGGAGATTCCGGCCCACGTGGGCCCGTCACCTGCAAGGATGGAGTACTGGCACGAGCAGGGAAGATTCCTGGCTGTCAACTTCTTCGACGGTACCACTTGGAGGACGCTTTGGAATGTTTATGCTCCTGATGACCCGCAGAAGAACTTCCAGTTCCTGCGGGACCTCGCCGCCGATGCGCAGGAGGTCCAACCTCACTCCATTGCTGGAGACTTCAATAGTCCCCTACTGTGGGGGACGGACATGGACATCCTCTTCGAGGACTTGTACTCCAAGTTGACGGACATGCTTGGTCCCGATCCTTACACCTTTCAGAGAGCTCAATCCAAGACAAAGATTGATGACATTATTTGTCACAAAGACGTTCGAATGGAATTCGGTCCTCCAATCGCGTTTTTCCCCAACGACAATGGGCACGCCATCATCTCGACCAAGCTCAATTGGAACGCCGAGGTGCATCAATACTTGCAGATTGAAGGATATCACATCAACGAGCAGTGTGGAAATCACACCGAAGTATGGGATGAGTTGCAAGATGAATGGTGTGTGGCTTATGAGAAATTTGATGTGGATATGTGCTGGTCCATCTTCGCCTCAACTATGTTTCGTTTCTGGAACGGCCACACCAACTTCAAGCGAGTCCCTGGCCTGGGAGTCAAAATGCATTGGGAAAACCAGCAGAAAGCGATTTTTCACAGGAAGCTTATTGCACAATCCAGTGAAGCACAGGAGCACGAAGAAATCCGAGAAGCCCTTCTTGAGCTGGGTCAACCTTCGCTTGACAAACTTCAGGCTTGGAAGCACAGAATGCAGCAGCCCGGCGACAAGTCCCAGAAGAGTAAATGGATTGGGGACGTTTGCAAATGGGTCAGGGCCCCGACCCGCAAGACCCCCCCTTTTATCAAAGCGAACGACGGCTGGACCAAGACCCCTCAAGAGACGGTGGATGTCATCCGCGACTTCTTTGCTTCAGTTTACCAGCATGATGACCAAATGTCCTGGGATGTAGGCAACGCCAACCACGAAGTCCCTGCAGATATGTGGAATGTGAAACACCTCAATCGGATCCTCAGAAACGGGAAAGGTATCTCGTCGCCGGGGCTTGGTGGTTGGACCTACGCGCATTTCAAAAAGCTTCCGCCAAGGGGCGTGGATTTCCTGCACAGTCTTTTTATGCTTTGCGTTATTTGCGGAAGGGTTCCCAAGCACTGGCTTAATGCTAAACTTGTGGTTATTCCGAAAGGTGAAGCCGGCTTTGATCTCGATGCCATGAGACCCATAACTATCGAAGTCACGGCTCTGCGCATTTTCCACAAGTGGCTTTTGAAGTGAGGTGAAATTACCTTTGATAACCTTCCTGAGAACATCATTGGGGGTGTACCTCAGCGCAGTGGCTACCAGGCTTGGCTGCACGCCTCTCTATCGGCTGAGAAATGCCAGAATGAGACGCACCTCTCATTTCATGGTGTGGCAATCGACACAGTCAAGTTCTTCGATTGTATCCCACATTGGCTCGCTTGTCATGCCTTATCCGAATGGGGTACGCATCAGGCGGCTGTCGGCACCTGGATTCATTCCATCAGGCACATGAGGAGATTCGTTTCCACCTCAGGCATAGTAGCCAGACGGCCCGTTCTTGGGACGATCGGGTTGCCTCAGGGTGACCCCATCAGTATGGCCGCCGCTAGCCTGGTGCTGGCGGTTTGGTCAAGAGATCTCAACAGCGCTGTCTACAATTATGTTTATGTGGATGATAGGCTTCTTTTCACGGAAGGTGACTCGAATGAACTCCAGCATGCCTTTGGACGTACCGAGGCCTGGGATACGCTTCATAATTTTCGCACGCAAATAAAGACTTGTCAAATCAGAGATGTGAAGAAGTCCACACCGCTTTGTTGGCGGGATGGACAAGTGGTCAAGGAAGTCAAGTCGGTTGATTACCTTGGTGTTCCCCTGGCCATTGGGCTCTTTTCTTCTAAGACTTGGTTTGAAAAGAAAATACACAGAGCTATTACCGCGCTACAATTGCTTGCAAGGGCCAACCAACCTGCGGCCACCACCAATATGATTGTCCGCACGGTCATTATTCCCATGCTTACGTATGCAGGCGCTACACTGAGACCGACTAAGGATCAGCTCAGGCAGCTTCGCACGGCTATTCGTACTGCGGCACACGGAAGCAAGCTTGGGACCTTTTCGGCTCGAATTCTGTTTCAGAAGAACTACTTGCTTATGGACCTGAGTTTTTCTTTGTCTGGAGAAACCTGCTCTTCTGGAACAATCATGCCTTCAAGAGGCCCGCCTTCAAGGATGCAGTGATTCAGAGCTGGGAGAAAGCTCTCCCCTCTATCAAGAAGATTGGCCCTGTTTCCCAGCTTAAGAAGGATTTGGAGTATTTGCAGCTTCATTTGAACATTGACAACTTGCAAGTTAGCAACAATGAGGGTAGATTGCTTTGGACCTTTGGAAGTAGCAACTGCAAAGTTATGAGCAAGGCTCTTAGTCATTCCTTCCGTAACAAGATTGCATCTGAATTGGAGCAGTGCAACTCCTCCTGTTGGAAGGGGATCGGCAACCACGATTTCGGCACAACCACTGCGCTTCTTCACTTATTGCCTGAAGGGCACCCCGTGCAACAAAAGCTCATTCGAGTGCTGATCAACGGGATTAATTCCTTCCACGTGCAATTTGTCAAGAAGTTCACTGATACTCCAGAGTGCAGAGAATGTAGACACCATGACGCTACTATGGCGCACCTGTTTTGGGAATGCCCTTTTTGGGCCGATCTGCGCAGTCAATGGGATGAAGGTTGGGAATCCTGGTTACAGTGGAGCCCCTGTTCGCAACACCTTCTTGTGTTCTGCAAAGACCTTCCCCCTGGGCTTCAGGCTAAATGGGGTACGATTCAACGACAAGCGGTTGACCTCCTTGGTAAATGGGAAGCTCGTCGCCGCGATCTCCGTACAATTGATTACAATATTCAGCTTGATCATGCTCCGGTACAGTCTGATTGTGCTGATCGACAGCACGCTCAGCCGGAAGATATTTATTTGCTCAGCTCCCCCTTCCACAGCCACGTTGTGTTTAAAAGGGGACAATTCTTGACTATCGACCCTGATATGATGGCGGTCAAAGCCAACTTATGGTACTGGGGTGGTTGTATTGAAGACTTTCACCTCCTTCGGGGTATGCTTGACTGGTGCATATTTGACAAAGGCAAAGCTGAAACCCTCTCAAGAAGGCATACTTGGATTGAGGCCTTGCTGCTCTTCATCTTTATTGCAGGGGACAAAGCGCCTTTCCTGCGGAAGATCAAGACTGCTCGTGAGGCCCAGTGGAAGATCCGGATGTTATGTCTGGGTATTCTCAAAATGCAAGGGATTCCAATTGATGTTGAAACCGAGCCGGACATGTTGGAGCTTTGTCAGTCTTGGCCTCCGCTGCCGACGTTGCCCTTCGGGCTGATGCTTCCACGGCACGACGGCATCAACATTGGGATTAAAGTTCTGGTCAACTTGAATGAGGAATACCTTATGCTGGGCAGACCGCTGCGTAAGCTTTACGTCACTATGGATCAGGTTGGCGCATCTATCACTTGCTGGAGGTCTTCGCCTGTGTTTGCCTCCCTGGTGGTTCGGTCTCGTATGAATGATAAGATGGCGGGCCCGGTTCTTCCCGGCTTGAACCAGGTCCATGACCGCCCTTGCATCGTTTTTGATGCCCTGACCTCGGTTCAGGAACGTCTGGATGCATGCAAGATCCTCTTGAAAGAGTATCTCCTTGAGGTGGTGCCGATCAACTTCCTTTACAGCTTAGACGCCGACCAGCTGCGTGAAGCACTCGGGAACTCCTCTGTTCGAAGACTTCGGTTTTGTATAGGTCGAAGGAAACATCTTATGACCGGTTGGGCCAGTCGTATGGCCGGTGCCCCCGGGCTCTCCCACTGCTATGGCGCCGATTGGGACCCTTGCGAGCCTCGTTGTGTGCTCTGTGGTTTCACAGTTCCCTGGACGAGGCTCGGCAGGCTTCGCCGGATGCCCCCGTGCAAGGTGCAGTATTCAGAGGTTATTCTGCCTGCGGCCTGTGAGGCAAGAGTCGCTGAACTTTCCTCGCAGGTCGACACCCTTGTGGCCCTTCTTTCGCGTTTAGGGTTCACTCCGTGATTCCCAGGCAATGCCCTGGAGGATAGACAGCGCCGCTACCGCCAGCCACATTCAAAGCCTGGGTAGGTGAAGGGTAGCAAGAAGGCGTCCCAACCAGAAATGGGTTCGGCTGCCTTTGGGATTCTTCATATGATTTTGGGTAGGCGGGTAGACTGGGCGAACGATCAAAATTGGCAGGAGGTTAACAGTTGAAGGGGCTGTTTTGTTTGCTACAATTCGGGACCATTCCAGATAGTTGGGTCGGATTCAAGATTCAAGACCGTACTCGCATCCTTGACAGGGTTGTTTCAGTTTGTATGTTCTTTGACATGAAGACACGCGACCAATGCTTTGATTCCATGTATGTACCACAGCTCATGGACCATGAAATCTGCTCCATGGGACGGCAGCACCTTGCGTTCGACGTGCCCACGCGCATGGGAGGGTGACCAGGGCGAAGACTCTGCGCAACAAGTAATAGTGTCACATGCCCAAAAAAGGGTCGTTGGTTTTTGGACCTGTCGGTGCTTGCCTAGGGATTCCTAAAGTTGCTCCGGGATTTGCGATGCTAGGTGGTGGACGTAGCGATCCGCTTGGTGCAGGCGATGATCCCCGCTGGGTGTGATTGAAAGAATGGCTCGGTTGTTCAGCGGATTCCACCCGTTCAACCTTTGCTTGGCTTCTCCACAAAAAGCGGTCACGCCACTAATAGGCGTTGCGGCGCTCCACCATGCTTATGCTTGGAGCTCCGTTTATGGTTGGAACATCCTACCTGGCCGATAGACATAAAACATCCCATTGAGCGGTTTTTCAGAGGTCTGTGCATCCCAGAACCGAGCTTGGTGACCCTTTCCAACACAGGTCTTGTGCAAGTGAGCGGCTTTTGGTGGTGTGAGTTCAACCCATGTCCCTCCTTGTCCGGTCCATTTAAAATGAACAGCCGAAAAGAGGGCTCTCTTTTCCCCTTGTCTACGTAGTGGGCATAGGTGTATCTCGAATCTAGGCGGGCCAATCGCAATACATGTCCAAGATTGTCCAAGTGGCACATCGCCAGATAGGACGCAAATTGCACCAAGATTGGTCGGACCTTCATGCCCTTGACCGAAACGACACGGATCTAAGTCCCAGGTTGAGGGTTGAAAATATGGACCGGCGTCCCAAAAGAAGGGCTGGGCTGTGTTTCAGGTGTTCCCTTTGCAATCCAACAAGCAACTGAGCCACAATCAACGTGAACACACGGGCAGTCGGGGATAGTAGGGCACCTTCCCTGAGACAGAGATTGGCCATTTTCGTGTTTTGGGCATCAAGCTTTGATTCTGAGCCATTTCAGGGTGTGAAATGGGAAAAGGGATTTGGGAATGCGTTGATCGGACATCTACAGGAAAGCTGACTCAAATTTTGAGACGCTGAATAACATTTGTAGTCTACTGCCTGGTTTGGGGAGGACATGGGGGGGCGCTTCTGGATGTCCGATTAAATCCACGGAGCCTAGGCCTCATTTTCCATGTCCGCTTGGGGAAACGCCTATCCTTTAAACCGATCGTTCTTTTGAGAACCCTCTATCTGGAAAGAATGGGGAAGGTACAGGCTGAATTTTACCTACTCAAATGTCGGCCGGCCCGGGGGAAGGGGTGGGGGTTGTCAAAAGATCGCTCCTTTTTCCGACCCGGTGCCGCCTGTTGCCGCGGTTTACAGGGTACAAAGGAGCCCCCGAACTTTGACACCTTTGCAAACGTTTGCGGAGTGAAGCTCTTTGCATATCAGCGCTTCGCAGGCGCTGCAGGTGATTGACGAGCCAAGGGTGGCACTGGACATAGTCAACGCCTCCACCCAGCAAATCGGCTACACGCAGGCTGGGACGTTGGTGGAGGATTGGGCGGCGGGAAGGTCTGGGTCCCTTGAAGCGCGTGTAGGCTCAGCTCGTGTGAAGAGGGTCCGTGAGGTAGCCGGCGCGGGGAGGGCAACGATCCGATGTCTGAGCAAAGGGGCGCTTAAACATGTTTGAATGAAGGTTTGGCCAAGGTTTGGCCAAGGCTTGGCCCCTTGGCATGCTTCCTATTTGACCATTTTAGGCCCTTTCTAGAGAGGAGCATTTTGAGGATGCCATTCCAAGGGAGCCAGTTTTCTCCCTTCGGCGAGGGCGTGCGCACGCCCTTCCACTCCACGCTGTGGGGTTTCATCCGTACGGCCGGCATGGAGAACCCGGAGAACGAGATCCGGATGCTGGACATAGACGCGGGCAGATGGAAGGATTCGGGCCAAAGCCAGCCCTTGAACCGTGCAGCTGGAATTTTCACAGTTGCCACCTAGTGAGGTGGACATCCAACAAAGAATTCTTATGTGCAAAGGATCCCCTATTTAAAAAGAATAATGCCCGCCCCATGTTTGAGCATGCTCAAGCTACTATTGCTCGAACAACCTCCTTTTGGTTTCCCCTCGGAAAGGAGCGGCTGGTTGTTTAACAATTTTTGCCCAACCCTGCCCAACGCGAATTGACTTTGTCCATTAACCTTTCCTCAATTTGGTTCAGAAGTCAAGGTTGCAAAGGGTTGACTAATTGCAATCCTGCTCCCTGAATCCAAGTTGTAGAACAGGGAGGGGTGGATCTGGTCCCCTCAAAACAAGGATCGCAGCGCTCATTGTTTGGCATGCTCCTTTGACCGCTGTCAAAGTGGCCAGGAGAGTCTTGGCGACTCGAGGGAGCACGCTTTAAACATTTCTTAATAATCGTTCCTGCTTTCGTGTTTTCCGCTTTGCCTTGCTCTGCGTTGCTCTGCTTTGCCTTGCATTTTGCTTGTGTCCCTTGCCTTGCTTTGCCTGTCTTGCCTTGCCTCGCCTCACCCTGCCTCGCCTTGCCTCGCCTTGCCTTTGTTTGTCTTGCTCTAATTTCCCCGTTCCACGCGGGTGATGCCCCCGCCTTTGCTTGGAGATATTACATACGAGACCAGCATTGACCAGTGGAAAATAAAGTGTCCTTTTGGGACACCTAGGTTTGGAAGGGCATTTGGCAGGGACCCCACCCATAGCCATTTGTTTGGTTTTAAACATCACATTCTGGTTGCCAAGACTGAATTTGGTGGGAGCTCCGAAAAAGTGGGGCGATATTTTGAGGAGGCTCAGCGACTTTGCTTTTCCCGCAAACTGGTGGTTCTGCGTTTGACCGTTTCCCTTCAAACCCAAGGTACAACGCGTACCAAGCCTCAAACACCACCCAACAAGGGTATATTCAGATATTTCTGCTGGAAATCAATTCTGGCTATCTTCTTTGTTTTGAGTGGGGGGATGATTTCTAGGTCCCCCAGTAGTGCCCTTCTCTCCCCTTATGTGGGGGAGGGTTCCCCTACTAAAATAGACTGCAGAAAAAGAAATCGGGTACCAACTTATTCCAAACTACTGGAGGACCCTGACTTGTTTGTTTTTGGGGCCTTCTCCTTCTTCCCCCCCCAATAAATCGCTGCGTCGAACAGACTGTGCGCTATCGCAAGGGCAAAAAGGCCTAGATTTGCTGGGCGGGTGGTTTTGCCATTCGCAGGAGGACGTGGCCTTCGTCTGTCGGTACCTCCTGGGGGCGCAGAAGGTGCGGCCCTTCGAGGCGATCATCCGGAACGGGGGGCTGCAGGTGGCGCGGCTGGCGGCCCGGCACGCTCTGAAACGAGGCCGTGGCGGGTCAAATGTGGCCCTTTGCTCTTCGCTGTGGTTGAAACCCTGGTTTTGTTGGTATGCAAAGGGGAATCGGATCGTTTTAGGGTGTCTTAGGCGGTGCGGGATGTCATCCATCCACAGTATTTCTGGGATGCTTCGATGTTTTTGCCGATTCCCGTTGTGGTTCAGGCATTTGGAGTGGATTTCCCGGCAAAGACTCAACCTATCAACCAAGCAGGGGTAGACAGTTGGTGTTGGTTTCTTTTCCGTGTTGTATGCGTGGGCTTCGCTTTCAAAGCTTAACCTATCAACCTATCCACAGACTGTAACTACCTTTCCTGGCCAGACGTAAACTAAGCCTAAGGGGATGGCAATGTGTTTGGTCGTTGACCTTCACATTTCCAGACTGCTTGATCGGGGTCTCTGCCAAAGTCGTGCTATATTTCTTGGCCCAACTAGAGTGACCATGTTTCGCAGTGTTCAAACATATTTTTTTGGGTGGTTTTCCTTCAAGCCTCGAGTTACCTCTTTTGAGGATGCACTTTGACGGATCCAGTACTTTAGGGTAGAAACAGACTTGCAAAAGAGTATGTTTGACGTATCCTGGGGTTGGACAACGTTAAACTAGCATTTGGCCATTTGCCTGCTTGGATTTCATTTGCTGGCCCTTTCAACCAGTTGTCGTTTAAGTGCGGTCCAGTCATGTCCTGCTTTGTTTGAGTGTTTTTTTTTTTTTTTAAATCAACAACAACAACAGCAGCCCACGCTTGGTTTCTGGTTTGGTTTGGATGGGTTGTCCAAGCTCAAGGGCCGCTCCAAACCTCCACTGTGTCCTTTTCTGTTTCAATCTTCAGGTGGCCTAAACGTGGGATCCCTGAACGTTTTTCATTTGCACTTTTGGCGAATGGTAGGTGACGTGTTTGGGCAACCCGGCTTATGAATCCCGCTTTGGGGGCCTCTAGGTGAGCGTGGTTACCTTTTCAATCTCGACGGATCAATAACAGGGCAAGTTTGACTGGGTTTTCTTTTCAACTTTTTATCAGTCCGGAAAAGGCCAAGATGAGAAGCCTGGAAGCCTTCGTGCGCGTGTAAGGTGAGCGCGCGCATGCGGCTGCGGCCGCCGTTGAAGCTGGACGGATGAGGTTGGCGCATATCAAGGCGCCGGGATACCACAGGTGGATCCGGATGTTGGGGTTTTGGGCTCATGCGATCTCATGCCTGTTTGTTTGCACACAGGGGGCACCCCACAGCATGTGGCGGCATGCCTATTTCCCTCTAATATCCTTTTGCAAGACGTTGGGGGTCCTTTTGCAAGACGTTGGGGGTGGGGCGGGGAGGGGGGGGCGGTGGGGTTCGATGTGTAGAGTTGTAAACTAGAGGGAAAAACCCACTTTGGGAGTTTCCGCATTTAGACACTTACCCGCAATCAAACTTTGTTTGAGCGAAGCTTAGTAGAGGACAATTTCCTTGCCATGAAGATGTGGAACGCTTTTTGACGTGGTTTCTGGGAGACTGACGCAGGTGGGTGTCCCTTCAGCGAATAGGCCCAAACGGGCTATCTTTGAAATGTGCTCTTCTTTCAAGATGTCATGCAACGTATTTGTACTACTTGCCTTCAGCCTTGTTGTCTCAAAGACAAGCAGGCCGATATTTCTCACACTCCATGCTGGGGGTAGCCTTTCAAATGAGCATCTTCTGGTCATGGTGGCTCCGAACCACAAAGCTTCATAACCAATCCACATTTGTGTAGAACATCGGTAAAAGGGTGTCCTTTTGTTCGTCTTTACCCTTGTGACTCGGTCTTTGGAGCCGCCATGTTTGGGTTCCCTATCAACAAAACGGGAAGATGTTTTCAACCCCCACACGTTTGAAGCTTCGTGGTTCCGTGCAGCCCAGGAGCGCGAACCTCGAGCAGCTAGTGGATCCCAATGACCGCAGGGTTTCATGCCGGACATTCTCGTTTTGCCTGGTACCAGTTTCTTCTTTGCTGTTTAAAAGGTGAGTCACACACACACATGATGGTTTTCACGGGTCTCCTGCATGGTGTTTCCTGGAATCTGCTGGGTTAGTGCGAGCCGGAGTTTCACTGAACTCAAGTGTATTTATTTGTGCGGCTCGCAGAAAAATAGCTGTGATATTTGAGCCACCTGTTGGTGACATCCGGTGCGAATCAGCCATCAGCCACCCTCTTGAAGCAGGAGGGGAAACCCTCTAATTTGCTCCTCGATTTGCTAGGGATTTGGTTTTGGATGTGTGTGGTTTCATTGGCAACATTTGGCTGCCGAATTCCATCGGAAGGACAAGCTAGCACTGAGTATTTTATGAAGAAAGATGGTTTTAATCGCTCAACCCACCTGCAAACTGCAGCGAAGCGGACTTTCATCGTGCGCTTTGCTCATGCCTTGAGTGTTTGTTCTCATGGAGGTTTTTTTTGGGCATGGTTGGCGTCAGTTCGTCAGTCAGTCAGACAATGTGGGGGGGGTGGAGTGGGTGGGGTGTGGCTGTGGGTTGGTGTGGGTGGGTGTGGGAGTGAGTGAGTCAGTGAGACAGTGAGTGGGTGGGTGAGTCAGTGAGTCGGTGAGTCAGTGAGTCAGTGAGGCAGCGAGGCAGCGAGGCAGCGAGGCAGTGAGCGAGCGAGCGAGAGTGAGGGAGTGAGGGAGTGAGGGAGTGAGGGGCGAGGGAGCGAGGGAACGAGGTAGGGAGGGAGGGAGGGAGTAAGGGAGGAGGGAGCCAGGGAGTGAGGGAGGGAGTGAGGGAGGAGGGAGCCAGGGAGTGAGGGAGGGAGGGAGGGAGTGGCGGGGGGAGGTAGTGGAGGTTCAGTTTGGCCTGGTCTGATTTGCTTAGTCTTTTTGGTTCAGCTTCGCTGAATCTGCTTTCTTCGGTTAGTTGTTTGGTTTGTTCGTTTGCGAGTTGGTTGGTATGCCAGCGTGTTTGTCGGTCTGCCTGTCTTTCTGTCTGTCACCTCTCGAGGCGTGGAAGGGTATCAAAGGGGCCGTGGAAGGTTCGCAAAGGGGCAGCGAAGGAGACTTGCTAGTGGAGACCTGTGGCCACGCGTCACATGAAAACAACTCCCTGGATCCAGGAATCAGGGACCCACACCCGCTCACACTGACCGTTATTTGCGCGATTGGTCCTGAAGGAGCCCATCCGACTTGTTGCGGACCGTTTGCCAGGGGAAGCGCAGAGCCCCGAGCGCAGCGCGGCGCCGGGGCTCAGGTCAAAAGCTTGGAGCTCGCTGGCAGGGACCCTCGATTCCCCTCCCGCAACATTGTGGTTTGCCTCTTGATTTCCGCTGAAAGGGACAACACAACCTGCCGGCCTGCACTGGTTTTGTACGGGGTGTTTTGGGTAACTACCCTCCGGCTGGGTATGTGTGGGCAAATCACAACGGCTCTCAAACTGCGTGCGAAGCAGCGCACAATGGTGAATTTTCCGAGAAGGCAACCAAGTGTGGGGAATGCGATTTTGCTTTGAGTCTGTGTCAAAATTGGGGTACCTTACCCCCACCCCCAAAACAACAACAAAGAAATTGATGTTGCTTTTGGCATCCCTTACGGGGTACCCTCACAAGAAGCACAATCCCTGCAGCACCAAAAGGGGGTGCCGTCGTTAATGATTTGAGGCGCCGGCACCGGAGATCCCAGAGGCAAGGCGCAAAGAACAGCCAAAAGTGCTGCAGGCAGGTTGGGTTGGGTTGGGCGGTGGGGGTGGGGGTGGTGGGTTGGTTTTGGTTTTTGGTGGGGTGTGGGGGGGGGGGGTCTTGCTTGTTGCCTTTGGCATCCTTTGGGTTTGCTTTTAGGGCCCCAGCTCCGTGAGCTTCTTGAGGATCAGTGACACCTCTCCAGGCCCTCCGGATGGTAGGTCACCAGCTGGGCTCACGGCGTGTTTCTTCTACCGGTTCCACCGGAACCATTTGCCGCCCTCCGGGACCCTTCAAAAGTGGCAGTTCAAGCAGTGCAGCTTCCCCGGAGGGAGGGTGTGGGGCTGGGCAGAGATCCACGCCCCGCTGTTTCTTGGACCCAGATTGCAAAAGGGCGGAAGTAGCGTTGGGGGGGTTGGATTTCAACCCCAAGAAGTTTCCACCAACAACCCTGTTTTTTCTACCACCCACCAGCCTGTTTTCCGTTGTGACCTTCATTTCAGGCAATCCGGCAATCCCTAACTAGTGGTTTGAGGATTTGAACCCCTGGTTCTTGCAGAGGGCAAATGGGAAACCCCTCCGAAGAGGTTCGTTTGCTCTTCTCCTTGACCAGGTGGGCGAAGTGCATCGAGAAGCAGAAGACCCAGGCGTGCGGTGCCATGAACACGCCGCTTCATGTTTTGTATCTTGGCTTGGAGGGGTGGCGATATGGATATAAGTTATAAGTTCTAAGCCGATATATATATATATATATACATACACACCTGTGATTCCTATGATACACGTGTCTTTAGAATACGTACATATATTATATATGCCCGCCAGCGGGTTGCACCCTCTCAGCTGGGAGGCTGGGCGTGTGTCTGCGTGCCACGCGCCGCGGCTTGCGCGTCGTCGCAAGGCCCGGCGGAGCGCACCACCGTGATGCTCAGGCGCCAGTGCTGCCCGTTTGGCGTCTGAGGGTTTGTTGACGCCAGAAAGGCCCCATTTTTCCGGAAACCACCTGGAGAGAAGGGCGACATGGTCAAGAAAACCACATGGTCGCTCGGGCTTTTGTGGGCTTCAAAGACTCAGTGGGTCGGGGTACTTTGGACCTTAAAGGCGGTTTTGCGCCCTTTTGATTAGTTGGAAAACATGGTGCCCTTGTTAGCAGCGAAACTCAAGCCTCAATTGCAACACTGGTGGTCCGGTGCTGGACCCGGTGCCGGAAGTGAGACCAAATGCTGGGATAAGGACTCCAACTCCAATCTTGATTTTGGGCCACGCCAGACCCCGGTGGTCCGCCGAAGCGAAGCGGAAAACCAGTCGGGGGATCCGAGATGGCTGTTTGGGTTTCAGCACATCCTGCCGGCAGAAAGGGAATGGTGCCATTTGTGCTGAAGGGTTTTGACATGTACCCAAATTCGACCCGTGGCTGGCAGGAACATCCCCAAGGACGGGCCGCTTAGTGCCTGTGTTCAGTTGTCGCTGGACGCTCGTGGTTCGGTGACGTAGGAATCCCTTTATAGTCTAGCAGGTTCCCCACCGCAAGGGATTGGTTCCCCCAAATTGCCCTTTCCTTTCAGAAGGCAAGCCTCTCCCTGTTGGCTGTATAAATCACTTGCCAGTGGCAAATCTCTCTTTGACCTCTTGTCTTTCCGTGCTGCCTTGAGCAACTGCAAGACTCTTAGCATATTTTTACAGACTCACGAGCTCTTTTGGGATATGGCAACACCAGTCCCAGATGCGACAACGGCAACCTCTAGAGTTGATTCCGGGAAGCAAGGTGCCATCATCTCTATCCATACAACTTTGGCGCGCAATGCGCAGGGGATCCCCACAACCCAGCCTCTGTGGCTACTCGATGAAATGCAACTGACAAGAATGTCTACAATTCAATGAATGGATTTGCACGCGGACCGTTGTTCTGGTTATACCCCTGAGCAGATCAAAACCCAGTAGCTCTTCCACTCTTGGGCGGCTGTTTGTCGGGGTAATCGAGCAACGTACCCCTGGCATTTCCTTCATTGTTTGGGTTTTTGATATGCATTTACGTCGTATTTTGTTGCCCTTCTATTCAAAGGAGGGGACATGTTTTTGTTCTTTGTTTGTTTCTTATTGGAATAAACCCTATGTGACTCCCTTTCTCCACTATTTGCACTTTCCCGCCTGCCATTTGCAGCTCTGCCGCGAGGACATGACGAGGGAGTCATTAATGGAGCTCCTGAACCAACTAGGCGGGTTGGCTCGGCCGAGTCGCGTGCCCTCGCTAGCTGGACTTAGGGCAGGGTACTTAGTGAGTGTTTGGTACATGGGTGTGGGAAATGGGGTTTTAGGTTTCCACTTTCTGTGATGCCAAGAGATCTCATTTTAGCTCACAAAGCGCTCTTGGGATGGCCCGCTTTGGAATCGCAACGGACATGTTCCACCATGGATGAGCAACCATGGCTTCCAATTGCCATAGTTGCAAGTCATTGCAAGTACCCACTAAACAGGCCCGGGGAAGAACCCCTGGAATTCACAGATTCACCTGCCTGTTCCGAAAGGCTCAGGACAGATATGCTCGGGAAAAAAAACTGTGCGAATGATTTGTCCCTGAATTTGAACGCCCATAAACAGCAGTCAGAGAAAGACATTCCGATCAGATTTTATGCTATGCTGCACTGGAGTTGCCAGCGTTTGTTTTCTTTGAATGGGTAGAAGTACTCTTAAGTGTGGATGGCGAACAATTGTCTGCTTTGGACAGTCATGTTTGCATGATGCATGACACCATTGCAGATACGGGTATGTGTCAAAATAGGCCTGCAAAAATAGGGTTTTCTCTTGTAATGCCCCTTTTAATCCAAATAGTTGGAAAAGGGTACCCCCCAAACAAGAACACGCCTATCGTACATGTACTGGAGTTTGTGCATGCTTCTTCTTAGACCCACGTGGTAGGGCTGGCAAAGCCAAAAGTGGCCCGGCCCGGCTGTGCGCCATGGTCGAAATAAACTCATACTTGTAGCTTGTCGGCATGACCATGACCAAAATAGGAACCTGAGAAAACGAGTTTGAGGCTCAACCGATTTGGTAGTTGCCGACCAGGAACAACGCCTTTTAAGGATTTTCCTTGAGGAGCCATGACACGCGTAACGAGCTTCGCCAGTGAGTCACGCGTGCAACCCACGGGCGCGCTCTTTGCATCGGCAAAGCGCCCAGAAGACCACGAGGAATCCGAGTTGGTGTCTTCCGGTTGTTTGGTGCGAAGGAACACCAGAACGCGGTTGTTTCCAATCCCCCCATGTTTGGAAACGCCCAAGTAGAAGCCAGACTCTCTTAGGCCCGCATAGCATATCACCCTCCTCTTGGTATTTGGCTTTCCTTCTTCGAGTT